GGGAGAGGGGGGGGGGGTCTATCCGCTTCCATTCAGTGTGGGAAATGCTGCTCCACACAGAGACGTATTGGAGGTCAAGGGCGGCAGTGGGGGGTGGGGGAGCGGCAGCGCGGCGCGGCCCTAGCGCGGGTGGTGCGCCTGTCCGCGGAGCGCAGAGCAGTCTGTTGACGTGGGGGTGGGTAGGGCAAGGGACGGAGGGGGGCATGGGTCTAGTACGTCGGTATAGGCCGTAAAAGGGGGGGGAAGCGGGGTGGCCAGCCGGCTCGGCCGGTCGGCCCACCCGCTGCTGCTGCTGTCCTCTCTTTTTTTCCCGGAGAGCGGTGCAGAGTGTGTGCGTTGTGTAGGGTTGTGTAGGTCGTTGTTTACACCCTGTGTGCTTTTGCTTATTCTCCTCCTGCTAGTTTTACCGGGACAACCTTGTAAAGCGGGACCCATTCTCTCCCTCTGCTCCCGCCCGCCCTCCCTCGGCCACCCCGTCCGTCGCTCTGCCCGGCTGCACCCTGCCGGTTCTGGTACAACAACCGTGTGTTTCCTTTCCATCCAAGAAGGACAAACGCAACAACAAGTCTGGAGCACGGCCGCCAAACCACGCTGCCTCCTCCGTAGTGTGTATCTGTTTGTGTGTTTCGGCGGGGGTGTTATTGGTTTTTTGTATGTATTTTTTTTTTCGTTTTCTCCGCGCTTTCTGGGCCAGTGCGTCGCCAACGCCTTTGCCGCGGTCCCAGAGTAGAGATGTCGTCCTCGCCTCCTGTTCGCCTCGACACCCGCCGGAGGCGTATGGATCTGAAAATGGAACACAGGGGAGGGGGGGGGGGTGGAGAGGAAAGTCTGCGAGTCTGAGCCACCCGGCCTGGCGCGGCTCGACCGGACGCGTCACTTCTCCGGGTCGCCGGAAATCAAAGATCAACAGGGTGTTTCGCTGAATAGGGTGTTCGTTAACGGAAGTGAAAAGGGAAAAAAAACTCAGTCATTTATCTGTTTCCATCCAGTGAGTATGAGAAATTGTCATGGTACTTTGGTCCGATTCTGACCTCTCAAATAAGGAGGGGAGCTCGAAACTTAGGTACTGTACTTTAAAAGCCGTCTGCGATACGGTGTTCGAGGCAATCAAAAACGGAAGTAGTTTGTTCTTTTTCTAGTTCCCTTTTTGATTGCCCAGAACACCGTATCGCAGACGTTTGGTGTGCTGATGTTTTCGTCTCTGTTCTTGTCTTGTACTTGGTCAAGTACACACCAAGTCTCCTGCATAAATGTATGGAGGTTTTAGTGTGTACTTGACTAAGTACACACAATATTCTGTGTACTTGACCAAGTACACACAATATTCTGTGTACTTTCCAAGTACACAGAATATTCTGCATACATGTAGGTATGCAGAATATTGTGTGTTTAAGTACACACTTGGGTTTCCAGAGTGTGTCGTGGTGATGCCTAAAACTCGCTCAATAACGGTAACAGTATATGGCAGAAACGTGTACAGAAATGTAAAAGCCACGCCGGCCATTGTTTCTCGCGCTATTATCGAGCTAGCCCCCCATACTGTAACTCGCTTGTACTGTTTCGGCCGGTGGGTGTGTGTTTGTGTTCAGTTAATTTGCGACCCTCTCGCTGACCCTCCCGCCCG